TTAAAAGAAATAGATATTTTCATTTGGGATGAAGCACCTATGGCACCTCGATACACTTTGGAGATTGTGGATCGAACATTGCGTGATATTATGGATAATGATTTACCTTTTGGTGGAAAACTTCTTTTGTTAGGTGGTGATTTTAGGCAACTTCTCCCGATCAAGATAGGAGGTACTCGAAGTGAAACGGTGAATTTATCAATTAAGTTTAGTTATACGTGGCAATATTTTGTAAATTTTTCTTTAACACAAAATATGCGAGTTCTTCCAGAAGAAATTGAATTTACAAAGTTTCTATTAGACATAGGTGACGAGATTTTTAATAATTCGAAAGATGATATAGAAGTTCCTGATTGTTGTGTAGTACCAATTGGTTTAGGTATTATAACAGATATATATGGCATTATAACAGATTATATTATGGTATTATAACAAATATAATTTATAAAAGAGAATTTGAGAAAATTGCTAAAAGAGCGATACTTTGTACAAGAAACGTCGATGTAAAAGAAATTAATAAACAAGTTGTTGAATTATTAGACAAATGGTGAACGAATTTATACAAGTATAGATAGTGTTGTAAGTAATGATGATAATGGAGAGATTATTGAACATTTATTACCAGAATATTTAAATAGTCTTTCTCCAGCTTGTCTTTCTCCTCACAAATTACGTTTGAGACCAAATTGTATTGTTATGTTAATTAGAACTCTTAGCATCAATGAAGGTCTTTGTAATGGCACTAGATTATTAGTTCTTGAGCTCGCAAATAATTTATTAAAATGCAAGATTTTGTCAGGTGATAAAGGAGGAGATATTGTTTTTTGAATCGTATAACACTATATTGTGAAAATATATATCCTTTTACTTTTTCAAGAAGACAATTTCCAATAAAATTAGCTTTTGCTATAACAATTAATAAATCACAAAGACAAACGTTTGATAAAGTTGGTGTAGATCTTTGTAAAGATGTTTTTAATCATAGACAACTTTATGTTTCTTTCTCACGAGTTCGTTCTTGGCAAGCATTGAGACTATATCTTGGTAATCAAAGAGATAACAGGTACGTGAAAAATTATGTGTATAAAGAATTATATATATAATCTTAATATTTGTAAATATTTTTATATTTACAAAATAATATATGTAATATTTTGGTTTTGAACTAACAAGGAGATGCCACGACCTACTAAATCGATTTCTGAATGAGACATAGCACGTTCGCTAGCTACCATGTTAAGCATCAACACCCTAATTGGGATTTGTGCCAATAGACCTTTGTTTATAAGAAATTACAATATAAAGTTTGGATTGCGAGACTGTATCACGGATAGCTAAAAATGCGACTGTCTTTCAGCGAGGTGGCGTAACCGAACAGACTGAGGCTCCCACGTCGAAAATTTTTGAGCCGGCAGCGAGCGTTTGAAACTCGGCGACGAGTTATCTTTTTGCGGTGTTTTTTTCTTTTTTCTTACCTTAGGGCATGTAATTAATGTTTTTCAAATATGATACATTTGTTTTGCATATGTCTCGTTTTTTTCTATTAATCAGAAGTAATTAGAGAAA